GCCAATCTGCCAGCTCCTTCAGTTTGTACCCCTGACTGCAGTCCGCCGCTTTTTTTCCTATACCGGTTTGTTGTTCCTCTGTATCTATAGCGTCCTCCATCTCTATGTCCGGGGGAGTTGGTGGGGGGGGGGCCCCCGGAATAACCTCCACTTCCATTGGAGCTGTCCCGAAGGCTTTCTCGAATGGGTCATCTATTTTCTTGTCATTACTGGTATCGTTGCTTTCCTCCCCCGCCCCCTCCTGTTCCGGTTCTTTCCTCTTCAACACTTGCCATACTCTTCCCCTCCCCCCTCCCTTCTGGTTGCACTGCCGGTCTCCAGTGGGGAGGTAGTCAACTGCAGCTGGTCCCTTCACTAGCTGTTTTTGTTTTTTCGGTGCGTGTCCTGGTTGTGGTTGTCATTCAGGAGGTCATGGGTTCAATCCCCATGGCCGCCTGTGGCACTCTTGGTGCCAACCAACTGAGATAGTCAGCTGGATCCTCCCAGTCGGTGTCAGTAAGGTCTTCAACCAACATGGGTGTGAGTGCGTGTGTGAGTGCGTTGTGCGTGTTGTGTCTGGGAGAGGGTTGGCTTTAGCAACTCGATGGGGGTGGGGGAAGACGAAGACTCGGAGGGAGGAACACTTACTGGCAAATGCTCTGTCCTTGTGTTAGCCGCGCACCACGACCGGCGGCCCCAACCCTGCACCCTAAAGGGCCTAAAGGCTAGGGCAAATTGGCAAACATGCCGTTTCTTCCTTTTTCAGTATTATAATAGTGGATTTAACAAAACTGTTTGTGGAAATAGCTTTTTAAACATTGGTTTGATGTAGAGGGAGACTGGTGTGATGCTCGCAACAGAGATACTGTTACATCTTTCGGTTACCCCCCTCTCCTATCTTCAAGCCCGGAGCTTTAAGGCAAGGCCCCAGACCGGCCCAGAGGCGAAGTCCCATTAGCGAGGGTGTATTAAATTTTACTGTTCCTTTCCTTTCGAGTGTTTTTTAACGTGGAACCATATAAAAAAAAAAAAAAAAAAATGCGAAACCATTATGCAAGGACCCAGAGGCTAAGTCCCATTAGCGACCATTTAGTGGTCCTTTCATTTTTTTTAAAACAATGTCATGTCCTCTATGCGCCCGTGAGAAGTGCAGATTGATGAGATTGGATGGCAGGATACTCGAAAGGGACCAAGTCTAAGCCCCCGCTAGTGGGACGCACCCCCAGGGGGTTCAACTTGTATAGGGGGGTCCAGCATTCTAAGGACGCCGGACCCTCAGGAGCAGCAAATTTGGACAAGTTTTCGGCCAAAAAACTTGGTTTCAATTTCGTTCAAAAAATGAAAAATGTCCATTTTGTCGAAATGGAAGTTCAAAATTCAAATGAATCTGATGTTTTGGAATTAAAACAACTCTTGAGTCTTGAGGCCTCACATGAACTGCGCTACAATCATAGACAGACTAAAATGGGTTCAAAAATAACAATAATCTAAAAACTAATAGCAAGTAGTAGCTAGACAAACAATGACAACCATTTCATTAAAACAGACATTTTTGTATTTTTTGAAAGAAAGTGAAACCTACTTACTTACTTGGCACTGAGAATGTCACTGTGTGACCCCCTTGGCCCTTGAATGTATGGGGACTTCAGGTAAGTCCGAAGGGACCGTCAGGAACTAAAAAGGTGACATTTTTCAGGGCCAAATAAAAGGATTTCAATTTCGTTAAAAAAAAAATGAAATGTTCAATTGGCAGACCGTGGCAGTCTCTCTCTCTCTCTCTCTCCCCTCCCCTTCCCCCCACACGCAGTTCAAATGTGCAAAGCGGGATTGAATCTTCCCGCTTTCACTGGAAGATTCATTCTTTTCTCACTTTTGAACCCTCTCTCTCTGTCTCTCTGTCTCTCTGTCTCTCTGTCTCTCTCTCTCTCTCTCTCTCTCCCTCCTCCCAACCCCCACGCGGCTCAAAATTGCACAAAGGAAATGAATTTTCCCAGGAAAGTGGGAAGATTCTCTCCCGCTTTGCACATTTGAGCCGCGCATCCTGGCAGGGGGAAGGGGGGTTGAGGGGGGGGGGGAAGAGAGAGAGAGAGAGAGAGAGAGAGAGAGAGAGAGAGAGAGAGAGAGAGAGAGAGAGAGAGAGAGAGAGAGAGAGAGAGAGA